GTTGTGAATTATAGCGTTTGTTAAGTTATTAAAGTGTCTGTGGAAATTAAGTGTATTACAAAGTTGTATCGAGAAAGAATAAACTAGTTTTATTTAAGAAAGGACTTGTATCGCTGAACTTTCTCGGGAAATTATCAAACGAGCAGAGACGTAACATTATACTTAGAATTTATTTACTACAAAGATTCGGAGCTAACACATTTTAAAGAACAGGCAATATTTAGAAGTGGAAGAGCCAGTGTCGGGTATTGTAAATGTATCTAAAAGGTCAAGGAACTATTAATTTCAGTTTTACAAGTAACTTTTACATATGAATGTTGTGAGTTAAAATATTTAAAAAAACAACTGGGAACGTTCTTGAATACCTGTAATCCCAATGTGTTCTTGTTGGCGGAAATGCTATCCACTTTCTTGAATGTTTCAACTTGCAACATATTCTTTTCAGCAGAGATATTCCACAATTTTTCTTTAAATATGTTCTTGTGGTGGAGGTCCTCGGTGGCTCAGTAGTAAGAATGAGGGCTTATACCACTTATATGAGGGCTTCGGTACCTATGGTGTACAGAGCACAGATAGCCCATTGCGTATAGGTTTGGTTTAACAACAAACAAACTCCTCGGAGATCTCAACACGAAACATGTTTTTGATGTTAGAAATGTTCCCAAATTTCTCGAATATGATAACTCGCAACCTGTTCTATCTCATCTGACAACATCTTGGATATCAAATTTCCATATAAAACTTAAAATTAACAAGTACTCTGCCCTTTTTAAGACATTTTTATAAACCATAACATTATTGGTTATTCCACATCTATCTACCGAGACAATATTCAATATTGAATTACCCAGTGGGTTTTCTGTTGTCTCATAATCATTTCTGGTAAATGGCAAGAAGCTTAGGTACAATAACTAACTGTATTTTTTCCAGCTTCTTGCCTTACTGCTCGTTAATTATACGGACTTTAATGAAATCGATAATTTAACTAACATCAATACTGTAAAGTTGTAAATCCTTGGTGTGATTTGTCGAATATTGATCTACAATGCATCACTTCACTCACAAATATATATGTCATCTAAGTCTTTAATCAATACCAGAAATGTTTGTTGATGTCCTAGTTACAAATTTAAAAAAATAAATAAATACAAAATATTCCTTGCATTCCCACAGATAAATAAATCACCTATAAAATTTAACCCCTATACTCAGTTTTTAAGAAAACACTTTCAAGATTACCATAACAAAAAGAAAAATGCCTCTAAGCAGAATATTCTTTTAGGGTCTGGTAACAAATTTGAAAAATAAATATCAAATATATCACGCATGTTCAGCAATAAGCTTGAAGACTTATAATGCTAAAAGCCAGTATGCACACATCAAGTGTTACCTATATTATTATATATCATGAACCACGTTTACCTTTCAACTAAGGGATTTATGAACAAATCATTTTCAACTTTCCTCTCCCTAAAGAAGATTTATTCGCAACTAAAAATGGCAAACTTTACTCTAAACATTAGATTGCGGAAGTTGGTTTTAGCTTTAGGATATAAGCCGAAATCTTAACTTTTTAATGTCATTCAGTTATTTCGATAATTAACTTATTTTAAAAAAAAGCTTGTATTTTATTTATTTTTTTTATTTAAACGAAAAGCAACACAATGGACTATATATGCGTTCTGTTCACCGCAGGGAGTTGAACCCCGGATTTTATAGTTATAATTTCGGAAACTTAGTGCTGCCCCATCAGGGGAACTTTAAAAGAACTAATAGTGTTAGATATAATTTTTTCCTGGAACTTTCCAGCCTGACGCTATAGGAACAAACGAGAAGGCAGCCAAGTTGAAAAACTGCTGGGTAAATTGATATTATAGCACTGCTAATTAGTTAGAAGCTAGAAGTGCACATTTTTAAGCATTACTTCAATCAGAAAATATGGCGTTAAGATATTTACAATTTGTAATTTTATTCACAAAATAGCTTTAAAACTTTTGCCATACCTACAAATATTTTCTTGTTTCTAGCTTCAGTAATATTAGAAAAAATACTCAAACATAAATATTACGATGCACTGTTAACTATTTTTTTTAGATCTGGCACAGTACGAAACCATTAAATGAAAATAGTATATACGCTCACCATAAATAATACTCTTGATTACAAAAAAAGAGCAGTAGCCATGTATATTTTGGTATATGATTCAACAAATGTACACAGTGGAAAGACACCTCTATTCATGCTTTACAAAGCGTCTTTCGTGAACTAAGAGGTATCAAATCGTCTTAACTCACTTTGCACTTGCCAAAGCAGTATTGAGGCTTTTTTTTCTTTTTACAATCAAAATCACAGAATTTTGAAAGACATGAGTTATCTTAAAAACTAACTTTAACCAACGTTGTATTTATTCTAAAACCCCTCAAGATAACAGTATATTGGTCATTACATTAGCTTGGCTTCTCAGTTCGAGAGAAGTAGGCTACTTTGTCTAGTGGTACAGAATAGTTGTGTAGCCACTTGCCACCACGATGGATATGCCCCAATACCTCATCTCGCCACCATCCTCTAGGTAAATAAATATCTCTGTTTCGCTTTCCCTCTTCCAATACTGGGGCAACAAGGATCTCCTCGCCAATAGAAAACTGTGTATCAGAAATTTGAGCATCATATTCTTTGGGCTCAAGCCACCAAAGTGGTCTAAGAATTGGATCACCAGTTTGAAGGTACTCTTGGACACCGCGCTGCATGACTGGTAAAACACGTTCTTCTCTGACTTTAAATAACACCTTGGCAGCTTTGATAACATCAAGATCATAATCCCCTGGTGGTACAGAAAACTGTACAACTGGCATGAATGCAGCAAGTTGTAACCATCGAAGGTAAAGTTCTTTATCAGGTAAAGTAGCATTTTCTACAACTAAGACATCTCCTCCAACTGAACCTGGATTGACAATCGGATAGCCAAGCAGTTCAAGTGTGAGAACTGTTGGTAAGATAGATCGCAGGCCACGAACTGCATCCCAGGTAGATGTTCTTGGAGCCATGGCTACAAAGGCAGGGATGTTTTGGGTGATAAATCCTACTCCTGCTCCCATGAATGAACCAACTTTAGAAGCAATCTCAAGATAACGTGTTAGGTAAGTGTCAGGATTGACATGCATTGTTTCAAAATTATAGAATGTTGGTAAGTATGAAGTTTGGCCTCCCAAAAAAACAAAACCATCCACTTTGTACTTTGATTTCACTTCCTGTAGACGTTCCAGGAACCACTGGGCTGATCTCTCACTTGTTACATCAATAATAGCACAAACTGAATCTTGCCACCGAATTAGTTGTGGAACATGCCATTTGTCATCAGAAATAAAGTATGTTCCATCTGTACCAGGCTTAAAGGCTACAGAATCCAAACAAACATACGGGTGCACTGCTAGCAACACCTTGAAACCCTTATGGTGAAGAATGTTAAGTATTTCCTCGGGATTTGTAAAATTATCCTCTCGAAATTGGAGATCTCCCTCTTGTGTCTGCCATCTAGTATCTATTAAAATGTTTCCAGCCTCAAATCCGTGTTCCATAATGTGATTGGCATACACCTGTAGCGATTCTTGACTCAATGAAGTACCCAATTTAGGTCCTGTAGCCCATACTGGACCTTCCAAAAACTTTGAACTAGAAATATTGGGTGGAAAGTTGTAAAACTTATGCAAAGTGTCAAGGTGAACAGACTTCATATCTGGACCAATACATAAAGTATAATTTAAGTCACGCAAAACATCCTCAAAAACATGGTAAGGAAATCCTTGGTGTTTTGTTTCAAAGCATAGTTGCTCATTGCCACTTTCATTCAGACTAACATACAGAGGTATTTCAGGATCTACGTGGATAGCAATTCCTTCTGATGACAACCAGTACCGGTCCAGAACAGAACCTAAGTCATCATGGGAGACGTCTCCTGTCACAAAAGGCTGCATATTTAAGGAAAAGTTAGACAATGGCCACGATATATTCTGAACCTCGCCCATTCCGTACCACAAAGCCCCACGAAGATTGAAACAGTCTCGGAAATGAGTGTTGTGGGAGAGGGCCTTCCAGTGAACGTTATAACAACTCAAGTTTCCTTCATGCCAGTACTCGATTTGCAGTCGCGCTCTGTATTTCCATTCCACACAGATGTTGGGGTCTGAAACGTGATTAACATGTTGGCAGCTGTAAGGACCAAGCTTAGAAGGAATATTTAAACCCAAGTAACCAGTAAGACGCACTTTGCCTTTGTCTTGTAGATTAAGCCGTCTCTGAGCCTCGTGAAACCAAATCTTGTCATCAAATGCGATCTCTACCAGTTTCTTCTTGTATAAAAACCAAGTAAATGTTACCAATCCTACAATACTACAAAACAGTAACACCAAGATGAATCTGAATTTAAAGTCTGTTATTTTGTTTCTACGTACCATAGCAGAAAATTGTGCTACCTGTAAATATAAAAGAAAGTACAAAATAATTAGGATGTTAACGAAAAACAAAAAATACACATACTGAAAATATATACTATCCTCAGAACGATACTCATCTTTAAAACTAAATCAGATTTAAGTACAGTTCCATTGAGTATTGTTAATTTCTCTAAGACGATGGTTGGTGCAAAAGAAAAGAAAAATATATTAAGACACATAATGCACTCTCCTACTTTCTAGAATACTCTTCCATAACAACTAAGTTGGTGTAATCCACAATAACAAACTTTTAAAGGAAATACATGTGATTTGCTGTAACTTTATAGCATAAATCATTAAACAATAAATACTTTATTATTTAAATATACATTCTTTAGAAGTTGTATTACACTAAAAACACTTTCTAGTGTATTGTTATATAAAAGATGGGTGTGGGCTGGCAAGCTGGGTTCAAATCTGTGCAATGCCATAAAACATTGCCCGCATTTTGATGTGTGACTGCACCATAAGAGTTACAAGGGTGGTAGGATGTTGCTGACTGGCTACCTTCCCTCTGATTAGTAGGGAAAGCAAAATACAACCTTAGTAGCTTTGTCATAAATATGAATGATAAAATATGCTGCTCGCCAGCTTACAGTGTGAAAATTGTCAATATGATTTTCGTAGAGCTTTATCTATCTTATTCAGTTTGACTTAATTAATTTTCATTATTCATCTTTTCTTTTTCAGAATATTCCTTATGAAAAATGTTTTAAACACTTGTAACTTTGAAAGGGTATTGAAACATTGAAGGTTTTGTTTCTTTGTTTGTAATTAAGCATAAAGCTATACAATGGGCTATCTGTGCTCTGCCCACCACGTGTATCGAAACCCGGTTTCTAGAGTTGTAAGTCCGCAGATATGGGGAGCAACGTTTAAGGTATGGTAAAAAATACGTATCAAGTCCCAACTCTTAAAATGTAAACCAACAATGTAAACGTGCAGTGTAATGGTGATCATGATCACAAGGTGGCTTTAGTGTTTTTGGAGTAGTTTATAAGATCAACAGATATAATTTACTAAAGTAATAATACTACATACTATTAACCGACAATAAAATGAAGTATGTTTTTACCATGTAGTGTAAGTAAAGTGACAGTAGATATCGGAACTGTTCAGATGCACGCGATGATTGGCTGCCTCAAGGGGAGGGAACAGGTAGAGAAGTGGCACTAAAGAACTGGTTGTTAGTGCCTCAATGTAAGACGGATGTTGTTATGCCGCATTGACAACGGAAGTTGTCCAGATGACGCGTTGTTAACCAATCACTTTACAATTATAGAAATTAGTTAAAATAGTGTTGCGTCAGCGAGGTCACATG